CCAGTAATCCTAGCAATCAGGTGCTTAATACAAACAAGAACAACAAAAAACCACACACGTAAGTTCAAGGATAGCCTGGGCCATACAGTAAAACACTGCCTAAATAAAAAAAAATTTTTTTTAAAGATTTATTTATTTATTATGTATACAGTGTTCTGTCACACATATCCCTGCAAGCCAGAAGAGGGCACCAGATCTCATTACAGATGGTTGTGAGCCACCATGTGGTTGCTGGGAATTGAACTCAGGACCTCTGGAAGAGCAGGCAGTGCTCTTAACCTCTGAGCCATCTCTCCAGCCCCTTAAATAAAAATTTAAAAAAAAAATCTAATACACTTAAAGTTAAAATTAGGCAGCCAGGCAGTGGTGACGCACACCTTTAATCTCAGCACTCCTGAACTCTGGAGGCAGAGGCAGGTGGATCTCTATATTTGAGGCCCACCTGATCTACAGAGTGAATTCCAGGACAGCTGAGGCTACCCAGAGAAGCCCTGTCTCAAAGGAAAAAGTTAGGCTTAAAGTTTTTTTTGCTAGGTTATTAAAATATATATATATATAATTATATACAATATATAATACGACATATACAATTATATAATATATTGTATGTAATTTTATATATACAATTAGATAACTAAAGCCGGATAGTGGTGGCACATGCCTTTAATCCCAGCTCTCAGGAGGCAGAGGCAGGTGGATTTCTGTGAGTTTGAGGCCAGCCTGGTCTACAAAGTGAGTTCCAGAACAGCCACAGTAGTTACACAGAGAAACCCTGTCTGGAGAAACTTTAAAAATAAAAAATAAATAAAAATAAATATAATAATAATAATAATAATACAGAGAACAACTCTCAACTCCAGACCGGAGAAAACACAGGGAAGAGGTAGAATTATTAGATTTTAAGTATTTAGCCAGGTATGGTGGCGCACACCTGTAACCCCAGCACTTAGGAGACAGAGGCGGCAGGATTACTCTGAGTTAGAAGCCATCCTGGGCTACAGAATAAGACTTTGTATCAAAATACAAAACAAAATACCCTCCCCCAAAACGAACAAAGCAACTTAAAATACCTCAGGGCAGGGCCCCGAGTGTAAGAACAGACGTTTTAAAAGATCCCTCATACCCGAGGAGAGCAGCTGTCCACTGGCCTGGTGACTCCGGGGTACAATGAGGTTGGTTCTCCGGGTCACACTCCCGGAGACTCAGCGGCTGGGGAAAGGAACTGCCTCTGCTGAGGAGGACAAGGGCTGGTGGACCCCTCACAGACACGCCAAGCCAACAGGAAGCCCCCTGAAGCCCCAGGAGCAAACAGGAAGGAGCAGGTCTCTCCTCTGCTATCCAGCCTTCCAGTCTCCCTGTAGCGCCCCCAACAGGGAGGGCGTCAGGTAAAGCTGAACACAGCCTTCGGCTCCCTGTAGCGCCCCCAACAGGGAGGGCATCAGGTAAAGCTGAACACAGCCTTCCAGTCTCCCTACAGCGCCCCCAACAGGGAGGGCGTCAGGTAAAGCTGAACACAGCCTTCCAGTCTCCCTACAGCGCCCCCATCAGGGAGGGCATCAGGTAAAGCTGAACACAGCCTTCGGCTCCCTGTAGCGCCCCCAACCGGGTGGCTGGTAAAGCTGAACACAGCATCAGGGCTTGGAGTTAGGGGAGGTGGGTAACCGACAGCCTAGGAAGGACACACACAGGCACACACTGCCTTGGGAAGGAAGGAGGCAGATAAATCTTTTTTAAAAAGTCATTAAATAAAAAAAAAAAAAAGCCTTATTTACTATGTATACAGTGCTCTGCCTGCATGTATACCTGCAGGCCAGAAGAGGGCAGCAGATCTCATAATGGATGGTTGTGAGCCACCATGTGGGGGCTGGGAATTGAACCTCAGCCTCTGCAAGAACAGCCAGTGCCCTTAACCTCTGAGCCATCTCTCAAGCCCCAAATAAGGGCTCTTAAGCCAAGTACCCAAGTTTTAACTATGTAAGCCACAAAATACACAAGAACTTAAGTTAGGAAAGGGGTGTGATGGTGATTCAGGATTTTTCTTTGAAGAACAAAAAAAAACGTTAACCATGCACTCTAATCATGGAGCTAAAGATCAAAATTAGGGGCTGGAGAGTACTGCTCCTGCAGAGAACCAAATTCAGTTCCCAGCACTCACAACACTCACAGGCATCTCACAACTGCCTGTAATTCCTGTTCCAGGGGCCCTGATGCCCTCTTTCGGCCTCCTCAGATAGCCTCCTCCCCCCCCCCCAACACACCCTCACACATACACATAAGCAAAAATCGCAAAACAATTTTTTTACATTTCATTCATTTTAGCCGGGCAGTTGTAGTGCATGCCTTTAATTCTCAGGTCGCAGAGGCAGGCGGATCTCTGTGAGATCGAGGCCAGCCTGGTCTACAAAGCAAGTTCTAGAACAGCCAGAGCTGTTACACAGAGAAATCCTACCTCAAAAACAAAACAGAATAAAAATCACTCATTTTACATTAATTTTTAAAAAATATATGATTTACTGTAATTACTCAAGCAGGTTGAATTGTAACCCTATACACAAATTCATGTCTACACAGAACCTGAGAGTGTGACTTTGCTTGGGATAGGTTTCTGCAGATATAATCAGTTAAAATGAGGATGTGCTGGATTTAAATTGGTCCTATGGGTTCTGGTTCTTGCCAACGTAGTACAGTATAAAGACCCAGAACAGGTGCACAAGAAAGCAGCCGTGTTGACAACAGGCAGGTGTCACACGCCACAAGCCAAAGAATTGACGGAAAGGCAGGATCCTTACCTTGGGAGGAGTGTGGCTCTGCACTCACCTTGATTTCAGACCTCCAGATTCTCCAAGTCTGAGCGTACGTTTCCACTGTTTTTAATTTTATGAATTTGCGTGTTTTGCCAGCATGTATGTCTGTGCATGATGTTCATGTCTGGTGTCCAAGGAGACCAGAAGAGGGCACAGGATTCCCTGGGACAAAGGTCACAGATGGTTGTGAGCCACCGTGTGGGTGCCGAGAATCGAACCACTGAGCCATCTCTCCAGCCCAGGTTTCACTGTTTTAAGCCAACCAACTTGGTGATCCTCTGTTAGGGCAGACCAAGGAAACTAATTACTGAGGGGTTTTCTTGTCCTCTATGAACTCTGTGTGGGAGGAGAGCGCCTTGCTCTGTCTTGCCCTAGCCATACCAGGAGGTGACTTTGTGTGGGGAGAGAAGATGGGGCGACAAAAAGCAGCAGAAATCCCCACACCTGGACTCTGTAAAATGCTTGTGAAATCAGCTTGCTCCCCCGTCCCCTGGAAAAGCAGATTT